ATACCTTCAAGTCTCCTGAAGCACTTTATAATATACAAGGTGAAACTCGGGCTGTTGGCTTTAGAAAGAGTTCCGAATGGCATAAAAATTCAGAAAATGTCGTATAGCTTACACTGAAGTGGAAGAACTGTAGAAGTTATGTGCGGAAAATTATTCGGTACAGTGAATACTTCACAGAATCCGAGGTTAAAGATTTTCTGTGTCATAGGGTGTCTACTGTGTGATTCGCCGTGTAGCTGTAGATCTGCATTTGCAGTAAGTGGACGTCATGGCCAGTGATATGTCATATAATGAGTTTGGAAGATGTGTACTGCGTTGTAGTACACCTCTACACTCTTGTTAGTTTATCATTAGCCGTTGTTCCTTGGATGTCATTATCGTGTCTATAACATTCGTCACAGACGATCTTTTTTTGTACAAGGGCTGTAGCAAACATTATCTGATTTTAATCTCCTGAATACTTCGTGAATATACATGTATGTTGATTTTCGTCGTGTGAAATCAGGTTCACTCTGGGACTGAGGGGACTGCTGTGGAGATAACACTGTAGACTTCATTTGGGAGGTAACGTATTCGAATATTGACTGGACTGTCGATCATCTTCACTGATTTTACACTTTATAGGTATTTACATCCAAACTCCGTAGCCTGTAGTCCGCAAGCGAACTATACCGACCGAGGGACCGCCGCTTGTCGGCGAAGTTAGTGCCAACTTTAGCGGATAGAGAGGGCGTCGCGTGGTCAGCGCAACGGATCCCCACGGCCGTTAATTTCAGTTTTCTAGACCGGAGCCGCTATTTCCTTGAAATATCTCCTCAGTTCTCCTCACGAGGCTGAGTGGACCCCGTTCCAGACCCACTACTTCTCAGAAATTATGTAGTTCCGGGAATCGAACCCGGAACCTCTGAATCTGTAGTCAGGAACTCTGACCACTAGACCACAGATTACATCCAGTGCCTCTAAATATACCGCTGTCCTTCGTTCACAGTCTTTTCTACTCACGATTCATCTGTACATCATGTTCGATACTACAAACCTTTGTCGTGAAAGAATGTCATAGAATAACATAGGAATTGACTGAACGTCCTTGGGCAGCGCAAACACACAAGAAGCAGACGAATCTTAGTAGAACTTGTAACATTGTTTTTGGAAACAAGTCCTTCAGTTTGGCCTATTGTTAATGTTTGGGACCACCCCAATAACTTCTTGTTTGGCCATGTTACTTGTGGGAGGAGTGTTTGAAGAGAGGATTATAGCCATGCGCTAACGTTGTCTACGTCGTTTTAGCTTTCCCGTGGTGGCGTCGAGTCGCGTCGTCCCCGCTGTATCGATCCAAACAAGTACCACTGGAATCAGACTAGACATTGAATGCAGCCGTACAGCGTTCGTCTTTGTACCTCGTTCACATTGGTCTCCAGCCAAGCATTTGGTTTTGTTAGCCTTGCAGTTTTCTTATTAATTAGCAAATATTTGCCATGACACGAACTAGCTCTTCTACTCATTCCTGCTTCATGGTAAAAGTTTGTTTGCTTATGATTTTGCTTTGTCATGTTTGTTTTCTTATTCTGATGTAGTGTTGCCATTCGTTTTTGGAAATTTATTCACATAATAAAAATTCGGTTGAAAGACATTGTACCTACTTTCTTATGTACGATGACTTTGACTACCTTACGTTGGAAACAAAAACGGTTGTTGCTCGGTAGACCGTAATGAATACCGAAGAACAATAAAATCCGTTTGACAAGTAAAGCGGGTTTCGACAAATTTGATATTTCGCGCATGGGTCCCTAGTGGGACACCCGATATTTTACTGAAGATGCTAACTATGCGGTTTTGTTTAGAAAAATGTTCTCCATAAATTTCAGAGATTTAATTTAAATCGGTAGAGCCGTTTCGTGAATGTCGCCGTGGTATGTTTTGTGACCGCTTTGAAGGGCCTATATTCTGGAAGCTGGAATGGTCATATTCACCGGGCACCGGTCTGTGATGCGTAATCCCTTAAGCACACAGTATGAATAAGTCCAACCCGTCCAACCGTTCAAGTGGTTACGAGGGTCACGTCCATTCCTACGCATAGACATACACACGGCGTAACAAATACTTTTTTTTTGTATTGGCAGGGGGGTGGCAAAACGTGTAGCTCCCCTAGAAGCTCGAGATTTTCTGTTTTTGCCATCACAGTACTTTATATATATAAGAAAACATAAATGGATACAAACACCAAAAGCAAAGACAGCAGGAACATATAAACTAACAAGAAAACAAGCTTAACAAAACAAAAATATAAGCAAATAATAATATTTATGAGTCATAGTTTAGTGGTTACGTTTGTTTTCAGTTTATATTATGACATGATTTATTGGTTTCTGATCTTTTAAATTTAAGTAGTATTAGTGTGTGTCCTCGAAACTTAAAGAATTTGAAGTTATAATGACATTTGGATTGCATTAAAAAGCGTTAAAGTAGTCTGACCCCCCCCCCCCCCCCCACCCCCNCAAAGTTAAAGTGTTTACTTCTGTTTTTGTTTTCTTAAATTTGATTTTGGTTCCTGTTGCCTTGTTTTTATGTATATTTTGATACGATATGTAAGAACGGGGTTTATTAAATCGCAGTTTCATGCGTTAGTAGAATGGGACGATTAATGACTTACGTCTGTTCGTAGTTTACTTGGGAATTTGATTTCTCACCTGCATTTGCACCTTGAGAAAGGGAAACGGGATGGCTGCAATTACATAACAAAGGGCGTAATTAATTGTACTCTGTACATAATATGGCCTATTGTTTGTGATTAGAGCAAGAAGGATTAGAACCGAGACATGTAGACGCGAAGGGGAGGATGGAAATGCAGAGTTTTAATATGGGCTAATAATCTGCAAGGCCTAATCCTGCGATCCTTAGAACGTTCTAAGGAGGTGCAGTCTATTTCCTGGTCTTGTATCCGTAAAGTATTCGGATTCCAGTGACTTACCATCGAAGGCAAATCAGTTCTGTTTCGTAATTTTTCTTGAGTTCTCTTGAGTTCCAGGATATTACAGTGTGCGGCAGAAATAGACGAATTTTAAAAATAGAATGCCATTTTTTAAAAAAAAAAAAAAAAATAAAAATAAAGCATTTAATTTTAATATTTATATAGTCTGACTTTTTTTGTAAAATACACCCTACTGAATGCACTGGTGCGCATGAGTTGGAAATCTCTGCATCACTTCTCGGTGTGTTTGCTGTTAAATGTGAGTAATTATTTTTCTCCGATTGTCACTTGTAGCTCATCAAAGTCTGCTGACCAACTACACCAGCTATGTCAAACATGCGGCCCCTCAACTTTTAGAGCTAATTGATATTAAAATCAATATTAAAATTTTAGTAGAAATATTTTTTGTAAAGACAATTTTCCAACAGACCAGAAGACAAAAAGTCTCACGCAGACATAAATTAGCAGGCTGCAGGAAAAGTGATTCTGAGAATTGCAGAAGGGTTTGTCCAACTAACGGTTTGTAAAGTTCGTGAAGGACAAACTACTGTATTTCAGAAGGTTAATGCACTAAAATCCGCACAGCCTCACCACCCCAAGTATTTCTCAGAACCCCTTTTGGAGGCATAGTAAGAATGCAAGGGGGGTGGCAACTTCACAGACAAGTGCCAGGGATTTCTACCTTCAAAACTAGCTTGCAAACCCCAGCCATTGTCTAATGGGCTGCTAGCAAACTTTAACTTTTATGACCATTGAGACAAGATACACCTTCCTACTAGTCCGGTAGTCTCTTGTACATTGTCATTCAGTTCATTTTCACATAGCGACAGGTGCTGATGTTACATTGTGATGAACGTATAAAGGTTATAATTAAACATTAAATTATCAACTACGAGTTTTCTTGTATATGTACAGTAACTTTTAAAGGGCAGTGTCGCTTTCAAAAAATTCAAGTAGCAAAAAAAAAAAACCATTGAAAGTGAGCGCCGTGTTTTTCAAGGAAAATGAGAAATCGCTTATTTCTGTTGTGAAATAGAAGGTAAAATTACATGTTTGATTTGTGGACAAAATATAAGTGTTCCACTTTAGGTAATTATATTGAAATTATTCCTAAATAATAAATAGAATTAAATTTCCTTGTATCAAAATCTAATGTATATTTCTATTTTGAAGTGCGGCCCTCGACTATTATTTATAGGGCTTAGGTGGCCCTCTGTACAAGCTGAGTTTAACATGCCTGAACTACACAGACTCGGGAACCATTAACAAACTGTGAATAAGGATTTTGAGCGATTTTATATCAGAGAAACAGAATTGTGTATATAGTATATAGTAAATGCCCTGCCAAAGACATGCCATGTAATAGAATATTCCTGATAAAGGATAGTTTGTATAGTTTATTTCGTGTATTTTTTTTCCGAACGATAAGCATTGTTTTAGATATTCAGTTCACTTATATCAAAGTATAGAGTAAGTTTGTTGTTTTCCTTTCCTTTGTTTATTTGTAATGCACTTAGGGATCATTGATGTACCTATTCTTACCTCCTTATGTACGTACGTGTATGCGTACGTGTACTTAAGGTTATGGACTAAAGGTAAGTTGTGTCTGTACATAAATACCGCGCCATGAAGGCATAGGCAGAGCTCTGCTTGCCTCATACTTCTTGCTGGTATCTTGCTTGGCCAACTCTTCGACCCCGAAAGTAGAAGCAGGACGTTCCCCCGAAACGTCGGTGAACTGCCGAACTGCGTGGCCGTAACATCATAGTCACCGCTGTGCGAACCTCAAATCCAGCAGTCCACCTTTTGTTGTGAATGTTCTCAGCAAAATTACTTCTCTCTGACAAAATGTATGCGATATAAATTCCTACGCAATCTAAACATAAGTAGTATTTTTATGTTGTTTTTCGCGTCGCATAGTGCGGCAGGAATTGCGACGGCGCGTTTGGTTTCTGTTTTGACTCCAGCGGTCGACGTACAGTGGTGGGCAGAAGGAAGGGGGATAGGATTTTCATAATCATTGGCACTGAACCGTACTCCTTGAATGTTCGGTTGAAAGACGGCTACGTCAGTGTTTGGGGAAACTTTGCTTGGATTTGAAAAAATCTGCCACACGGGGGGTTGTCTTGCTTGGCTCCTGTTACGGACTGTAGTGTTGTAGGTGGCTGGTCGATTATATTGGAGCCATTCATAGTGTTCGGATCACAGCAGTTAAATATTTTTCAGAACAGTAAGTAATGGCAATTTACTTGGTTTGAAAGGCGTCTTATAACTGAACATTCCTCTAATCGGTCATGGCCACCATTTCGTGATACGTGTTAAGTTGTTGCTTCAAGTGAAGTGCTGTATTTATAGACAACAGAAGAGCGATGCTTACAATAAAATTCATGTGATATATTACGGAACTTTGAACCTCAAATGCGTACGTGACAGTTCGTGAAACGTTAAGAACAGTTAATGGAACTGTAATTGATCTGGGAACGTCGCTGCAATTCTAACTGTTGTACTTTGAATTCAAATTGAGTCTGTTGTGCAATGTCTGTGTGTTTCTATTGGCTTCCGAGGACGAGTTGCAGAGGCGCCGATGCTCCAGTAACAAAGGTGACGACGACTGACTAAACTTCGAGGGGACGTAACACTATGTCCAAGACCATCAATGCCTATCGTGTGTAAGTTAAGTCTGTATATTTCATGATTGGCTTTGACACACCATATTCACTTTTGTGCTACACTCATTTGCACTACTCGATGTTGTGGATGTTGTTTTCCAAACACTGGTGGTGTGACGAACTTAAATGAAAGAATTATATCGTCACCGTAGCATGAAGATGTTGTGAAGAGTGGAGGTGAAGCGCCACACATTGTTGACGGCTACACTGTGTGGAAGTGAGTGGTCACCTTCACGTTTCGACCATATTTTACCGGGAGAAAGAGCAACCGGGTCCCACTGAATAGGAGACTGGCTGCTTCCCAGAGCCCATCTAGATACGGTAGTGAAGAGATCTCTGCTTCTGCTGAAAATGAACCCTAATCGTCTGCTGTGTTACCAACCGTTTGCTGAGCTATCCCGGCTCACTGAGAACTTTACTAAAATCTTCTAACACCGAATTCAGTTATGCAAAACTCTTCATTGCATGTGGGCATGTGGGTGAATTCACTGAAACATTGTAGAAGCCTGTTGGGAGATGTGCCCATAAACGATTCTTTTGGTTTCGCAGCCTTGTTTGTAATAATAAATGTAAGTACAAGATAGCCGATCATGGTGGCCGTGCGGTCTAAGGCGTGAAGTGTCTTCTCCCGCTCGAACATTGGGATCGTTGGTTCGAATCCCACTCAAGGCATTTGATGTTTGTCTGTGTTTATTCTGTTTATGTTAGGTAGCGGCGGCCTTGCGACGGGCTGATCTCCCATTCAAGAAGCCCTACCGACTGTCTTAGATTAAGAAACTGAAGTGAAACGAATCGTTTCACGGATGCCCATTGCTCCAAATGGGAGCAACAGGAATAGGAGAAGAAGAAAGAAGAATAAGCACTAGATGACAAGCAGGGCTGTGTAAACCCAAGGGAAGGGAGTTTTTCTTCACCTCTTACAACTTGTGCTGCATAGCAGCAAGGTTATAGATGAAATGCTGTTTGCAGTAATGTAGATAACGCCAGAAACGGCTGATCGTGTCAGGCCAACGTCACTGATATGTAAAATATTCTTGATGATTTGATAATTGTAAAAGTTCTTGGGGGGGTACTTACATACAGGTATTAACGGCTGACCCAAGTAACTTTGAGTATATCCGCCATGTTGTCCGTCACGTTAGCGCTGCCGGCCGTATAAGTTTATCTGTAAAAAGACACCTAAATCCTACCTTAAGTGCTTTTNCGGTTAAACAGCGCGCGGATAATCGAGAGTCTACTGTATTTATTTTCAAAAAACAAGACTAATAACCTAACCTTTTAAAAACGGGCTTTAAAAATAAATATCTAAAAACCTTCCAAGGTTATGTTTTGTTTTGTACTTTTTACAGACAGACTTACACGGTTGGCAGCACGAACGTGGAGAACAATGTGACGGTAACTTTTTAAGTTACTTGGGCCATGCCTTCATTCATGAATACCGTTCTTTTGGCTTATACTGAAGTATTAGGATACGATGGGCTGGACATTTAGCCAGAATGTGTGGCAGAACGTCTCAGTGAATGGTCACCTCGAAGACCGAGAAGAAAATAGGACGGTGACTTTAAAATGAATCTTAGAGAAATAGGTTGTGAAGGTGGAAGGTTGAAGGGAGCGGATTCAGGATCGTGTTCAGTGGCGGTCTGTGGTATTTTCAGTGTTGATTATTCGGATTTATGTACCAGTGTTAGTTCAGCTAAAAATTACACATGCTTTCAAGTGAAGTAACATTTTGCTTGGCCGACATGATCGACACGTGGATCTGTCACATGATGTCTGTAATGAGATGCAGTTAAATCGGATTGTAACTACACACGGAGCGTTCAGATTTATTACGTCATAACCTAATGGGGGTTTAAACAAAATCGCGGAAAATGAATGTGTGTTACGAGTACTTAACGAGTATACATCTATGGCACTTAGCTCTAAAAGCCGAAGTATCGTTCCCAACGAAATTGTTGTCAAAATTTAACTGTTTGTACGAGTACAGATTTCACCGTCGAGGAGTTTGGCTTCTGTCCGTATAATATTTTGGATGTGCACGAGTCTCGTATGTTCGTATCATACAGATACTCACGCACATGCACACAAGCACAAGCGAAGCATGTTCTGTTGTAAATGATCCAGCATGTTATACTTATGAGCTGAATGGTTTAAGTCAGTAGCGAGTCTTCGCAATGACGACTGGGAAATTCCAGATTCCCATCAATGGCAGGAATGATTTCAGTGGAGCAAAACGTGGTCGAACGCTTGCTGCAGAATTCTCTTCTAAATCTATTGTCAGGTTCCACGAATCCGTGCAGCTTCCTTAACTCAGAACCTCCGGTTAGTATAATGCCTTTTCGTTCTCACAGGGTCACCATCTATTAATTTAATTTAGCAAAACACATTATTACGTCTTTTCATGCATTTGCGTAAAGTCGTGAAATAAACACATAATGTAGAGGTCATGTGTCTCCCGCCTCATCGTTTCCTATGTTCTACGAGTTTCGGAGATTGATTACTATATAAGTAATGAGTCGAATTTAATTTTTATGCCTGTCAGTCAGTCATGAAGTGACAGGAGGTAGGAGAAAACTGCCCAGTGAGGAGCTTCGTAACTTGTACTCTTCTTCAAGTATAATTAGAATGGTTGAGTCAAAGAGGATGAAGTGGACAGGGCATGTAGCACGAATGGGGGAGAAAAGGAATGCATATAGGGTATTGGTGGGAAAGTCAGAAGGAAAGAGACCACTGGGAAGACCAAGACGTAGGTGGGTGAACAATATTAAGACGGATCTTAGAGAGATAGGATGGGATGGGATGGATTTGATTGATCTGACTCAGGATAGGGGCCAGTGGAGGGCTCTTGTGAACATGGTAATGAACCTTTGGGTTCCATAAAATGCTGAAAAAATCTTGAGTAGCTGCAGAATTGGCGACTTCTCGAGAAGGGCTCAGCTCCGTGAGTGAGTACACATTCTCGCAACTTGTCTAAGATTCGTCTCAGTATTATCCCCGTAGGTGCTTAGATTTTCCAAATGAGATGCAGATATTAAGGGTATGTAGTGATGATAAAACACGCCGTGAGAAGAGAATCGAGTGCTTTACACGACCTAACATCCAGAATTTCCTCATGTTAGAGAAAGGTACCCCAATAGAGATGTTATAGAGGGTCTCCCCCTTGACACCCGAATTCCGAATAATGAAACCCTAATTACCCTGTCTGTTAAAAAAATTGTCCATCTTGATTCTGAAGTTTTATAATCAGCGAACCGACAATTTTTATATTGAAGCATGCGAAAAAGAACACCGATTACAATAGCAAACAACGTTTGGAAAGTCCGTGTACTTCACTTTTTTTTTAATACCCGGGAGCATGGTATTCTGTTGTTACCATGTTATATTCATGAGTCCACTCTTTTCTACCATAAATAAAATTTGCATGATCCAGTGAAGTTTGAAGTGGAGGTAATTTGTCATAATTTTGGGAGGGTAATATGAGACTTGAAGGAAGCGCCAAGACCTTGAATGGGTCCATTTTCGAGGTTTGCATGTCTCGGAAGTTGGTCGCCTTAATTATAGTATTTTGAAAGGGACGTCGAAAATGGTGCACGCACAGTGTATTATCATAGTGTACAGTATATAGTGTTCTTTATTTTTTTTATTGCCAGTGGGGTGGGACTAAGTCCCGTGTACTGCGGCCACTTCCGGCCTTTGTACCAGCCCCAGGTGACNCTCTTGTCAACATGGTAATGAACCTTTGGGTTCCATAAAATGCTGAAAAATTCTTGAGTAGCTGCAGAATTGGCGACTTCTCGAGAAGGGCTCAGCTCCGTGAGTGAGTACACATTCTCGCAACTTGTCTAAGATTCGTCTCAGTATTATCCCCGTAGGTGCTTAGATTTTCCAAATGAGATGCAGATATTAAGGGTATGTAGTGATGATAAAACACGCCGTGAGAAGAGAATCGAGTGCTTTACACGACCTAACATCCAGAATTTCCTCATGTTAGAGAAAGGTACCCCAATAGAGATGTTATAGAGGGTCTCCCCCTTGACACCCGAATTCCGAATAATGAAACCCTAATTACCCTGTCTGTTAAAAAAATTGTCCATCTTGATTCTGAAGTTTTATAATCAGCGAACCGACAATTTTTATATTGAAGCATGCGAAAAAGAACACCGATTACAATAGCAAACAACGTTTGGAAAGTCCGTGTACTTCACTTTTTTTTTAATACCCGGGAGCATGGTATTCTGTTGTTACCATGTTATATTCATGAGTCCACTCTTTTCTACCATAAATAAAATTTGCATGATCCAGTGAAGTTTGAAGTGGAGGTAATTTGTCATAATTTTGGGAGGGTAATATGAGACTTGAAGGAAGCGCCAAGACCTTGAATGGGTCCATTTTCGAGGTTTGCATGTCTCGGAAGTTGGTCGCCTTAATTATAGTATTTTGAAAGGGACGTCGAAAATGGTGCACGCACAGTGTATTATCATAGTGTACAGTATATAGTGTTCTTTATTTTTTTTATTGCCAGTGGGGTGGGACTAAGTCCCGTGTACTGCGGCCACTTCCGGCCTTTGTACCAGCCCCAGGTGACAGGTGAAGGTGATTGTGGAGCAGTTGGTGGAATGAAGATTGGCAGGGGAAACCGAAGTACTCGGAGAAAACCTGCCCCAGCGCCACTTTGTCCACCACAAATCCCACTTCACCAGACCCGGGATCGAACCCGGGCCGCCGCGATGGGAAGCCAGCGACTAACCGCTTGAGCTATGGCGCGGCCTCCAGTATATAGTAAGTTGGTCGCATTGTTTAGAGTATTTTAAAGCGAGCACCGAAAATGGTGCGCGCATAGTACGTCATCACAGTGTACACTGTACAGTTTGTAGTACCCCCAGCTCTTCAGTGGAGCATTGATGGAATGATGATAAGCAGAGGAAAGCCGAAGTGCCCAGGGATTGAACCAGAGACTTCGAGCACCATAATTTATATCTTCCTTCACGTTTGTTTTATTA